AAAGAAATGCTATTATCTCTATTGATATAAGCTAATAGTAGTACAAAATAATAACAAGCTGTAGGTGGCAGATATTAAGGTGTCCCCTATGATAAATGTGGAGCCTTCGTGTGGTGCTATAGGATAAGCACTGAACTGTACAAACCACAAGGCTGGCAGTTCAAACCCACCAGCCACTCCTCAGGAAGCCTATACAGGGTTTAAGTTGGAACAGCCTCGATGGCACTTAACAATGATAAATGTGTTTCCTCATATTCAAGGCTTAGTGCAATCCCCTCCTCTTAAATATGGGTGCAACTTGTGACTTGCTTCTAATAGAATAAGTGACAGGATGTCAAATCCATGATTGTATTATGTAAGACTTTCTAGAATCTTTCTAACCACTTCTGGCTTTAAAGAAGAAAACTGTCACTGATCCTATAACCTCAAGAAAATAAATCCACAGAAATGAAATGTACGTTGTTTTAAGCCAGTAAATTTGTGGTAATTTGTTATGTAGCAAGAGAAAGCTAATACAGAGGCACTCTGTCATTCCAATCACATGGATATTTATGCTGCTTAACCCAGCTCTTCCTTTCCCATCATAAGTCTACCTACAGAAAGCGGGAAACAGTTAATCTGTCATTTCAGGAACAGGAGCCCCTAGGATCATCAAGAGGGAAGAATATGAGAGCAACAAGGGATCCTAACCAGAAAGAGGGTGATAACAGAGATGGTGGCAGAGGCAATGGCATAGACAGACACTATAGCAGAGGACTATAGGCCCATGGGCTGAAAAGGCAGCATGCCTGCGGACAAGAGGCTAACTTGCAAGATGTGCCCTTTGGACATTTAAACAAATATTTATTTTCAATGTGGTATGTGTACATCAAAAAAAAGGGTAATAGAGGTAAAAACTGTTGGCTGAGGGTGCACAGCGGGGATTGTAATCATTGCAATGATTTGCTGAATGTAAAACTGATGATCTGCCCTGGAAATATTCACTCACTCAATATTGAATAAAAGCTTTAAAAAAAAACAAAAAAAAACCCAAATATACCTACAGATTGATTTTATGATCATGTAAAATGAATTTTCTAACAATTACTCTACAGATGTTAAAGCTCTTTTTTATGATTTCTGATAAATATCACCTCCATTTACATTTTACATTTTAATTAAATCATAGCACTGTGTAGTACTTGGAAAGCTGGTAAAACTTACTAAAGCCACAAAGCATATATTTACATAGATTTGCTTTTCCAGAAAGCAGAAAAACCTCAACCATGAATCACTTACCAAAGAATGACAGAATTATTTCATTGTTCTTGTTTTCCTTCCATTAATCTCATCTTTATAAAACATAATAGACTAACAAATCAGACATTTCTTCTTTTTCTCTTTCCTGGGCCTTGGTATCCAAACTGAGAAAATACTTTCAGTGGAAGGGGCAGAAAGTAATTTTTAACTTATTTATTGTCCAACTTCAAATAAGAGAGAGTCAGTTAATGGGGCTATGAAGTGACCACTGTCATTAGGGGTAAAATCAGCTATCAAAAGCTATTACAAGAGAATGACTTGATCATAAGTAAGTCAAAAGGGAGCTGAATCAATTTTTTACATAGCAGAGAAAAAAAAAAATCTCTCATTATCTTTCTACTATCCATTGCATATGTTGCTCTATCTTTGTGGGCTTAATTTTATTTATTTTTTTAAAGTGTGAATTGAGTAAAGGTTTACAGAGAAGATCACTGTTACATTCAACAAAGCATATGCTTTGTTTCATCTCAATGATTATAATCCTCTCCATACAATAGTTGTCCTGCTTTTTCCTTGTGGTTACCCATGTACAAATATCCTCTTTTTTCAAACATATATTTGTGGGATACACACACACACCCCACAGCCATTCAGCCTATGTTTGTCCATTTTTCTACACAGAGGTTACTGTTGTTCCGAGGTTGTATATATATCACTATGTGCCTCTAGTCTCTTTAGCCCTTGTATACACCACTGTGCCTTCATTATACTTCTGTTAACCATCCTATTATTGTATATTGCCCTCCCCATCACTTGAGTTAACATGTGTCTAGGATAAGCACTCAACAGCAAGGTCAGTTTGAACGGTGAAGTCAGTGGTTCTCAGAAATCTATACAGGGATCTCTGGGTTAGAACTGACTCGATGGCACTTAAAAACAACAACTCTCCAGCCAGTGAGTTACTACTCTCCCCCTTTCCGTCCAACCCCTGGTAACTATCAACAACTGTTTCTTTAGTATGAAAACCTTTTCTTGAGTTTTTAAAACAGTGGTCTCATACAGTATGTGTCCTTTCGTGATTGATTTATCTCATTCAGCATAATGCCCTCCAGGTTCATCCATGTTATAAGGAGTTTCACAGAATCATCATTTTTCTTCAATGTTGCATAGTATTCTATTGTGTGTATGTACGAAAGTTTGTTTATCCATTCTTCCACTGATGGGCATTCAGGCTGTCTCCCTCTTTTTGCTATTGTGAAGAGTGCTGTGATGAACATCAGTAACTCTCATTTCTTGTGGATATGTACCAAGTAGAGGAATTGTTGGGTCATATGGTATTTCTATTTTCAACTTTCTGAGGAAGCGCCATACCATTTTCCACAGTAGTTGAAGTATTTTACATTCCTATCAGCAATGTAGGAGGGTCCCAGTCTCTCCACATCCTAGCCAGCATTTGTTGTTTTCTGTTATTTTGAACTTTGCTATTAATGCTGGTGTGAGATGATATCTCATTGTTGTTTTGATTTATGTCTCTCTAATGGAATCCTTAGGAGCTGTGGTAACAGTGGTTACAAGTCAGGCTGCTAACCTCAAGGTAAGCAGTTCAAAACTACCAGCTGCTCCTGGGGAGAAAGATGAGGTTTTCTGTTGCTGTAAAGAATTACAGCCTCAGAAACCATATACAGCGTTACTATGAGTCAGAACCAACTCCAAGGCACGCCACCACCAATGGAGTTCTGGAGTCCTAGTGTGGCTCTGTGGTTAATGCACTGGATTACAAAGTTGGTTTGAACTACAGTGTCGGGAGTTGCAAAGTAGGGACCTCCAGGCACTTAATTGAAGGAGTTGGGCTTGCTGACCCACAGGACTACAGCCAAGTGCCTTCAGGCTGAGGTTCACCATGGAGTGGAGTGCCCTGTGAGCATGTATCAGCAGCCCTAAAAGACCAGCCACTCCTCAGAAACCCTATACAGGGTAGCTATGGAGTCAGAACCGAGTTGATGGCGCTTAACAACAACAACAAAAGATCTTTGTGACACTGCCCAGGCAGAAAGAGGCCTACCTGTGTGCACAGCTGAGGAAAGGCTGTCCTGACAGACAGAACTGTGCCCTGATCATGTTCTGATCCTGCATTGAAACCTGTTAACTTCCCTAATAAACGCCACAATCGTTAGCATGATGCTTGTGTTCTGTCTGGCCACTGCAATGGATTATCAAACCCAGCTGACTAGAGAGTGCTATGGGAAGGATATTGCAAAACAGTATAACACTGAAAATTTAGAGAAATGAAAAGATTATAATGCATACACAAAATTATTAAACTCTTTTCAGTAATGGTATTGATTTTGTTAATATTATTGTATATAATGTGGATAAAGTAAATCAGTAATTATGGGATATTCCATCATCCATTGAACCTTAAGAACCAAGACTCAGTGGGAAAGAAAGGAAATACAGATCTAATAGAGAAGAAGTAAAATAACATACTTTGGACTTGTGAATTTGAATTGGAAGGACTAGTATAAACTCCTAAGGTATTTTTTCTTAAATTTGATGAATGAATAGATGGATATACACAGATAACTTTCATACCTCTTTCTACCAAAGAGGCCTAAAAACAATGACCAACTTAGTAGCACTGAACATCCTTTGCACCCGGATTGTGGTCTTGAAATACAATTTTCTGATAAAAGAAGCCAGAGTTTGTTGCTGATGGATAATTCCAGGTCTGGGGCAGATGTGTCTGGAATAACTGCTCGATTCATGTCAAATGACTCAGGAGCCAACTTGAAGAGGCTCTCACTGACCAAAGATACCACTCAATGTGTTTATATAGAGACAATAATTGCAAAGGATTAAATGCAAAATATGTGTAAGTCCATAATTTATAATAATATTTTTAAAGTAAGTAAGCCCTTTCCAAAAAAATCACGGGGAATCAATTCACTAGCTTGAAAATTGTTTAAATACTATTTCATCTGCTTCTCTCTGAACTATTCAAACAAATAGGAGATAGGAAATATCTCTATAAACACATAACAACTAGTAACTGAACAAGACACGACAGAACTAAAATAGCATGATTTTGGAACATCTAATGAATTAATGAACCTAAGCCCAGAGTATCAACAGCTGATAACATCACAAAAAGGGAGACAAGTAGACTCTATATGCCTCTTTTGGGAAAACAAACAAACAAACAAATGCTGTCTACAGTCTTGCCAAAGGCATTGGATACGAATCTGATTAAGCCTGTGGATAAAGTTGCCAATTTGAAGAATTACAGAGGACAAAGGAACATATTGAAATGTACCATAAGTATACCAAGCAGCAACACCCAGATTGTGGAAAACCCTGAATGTCAAATGGCCAGGTTTTAATAGATAAATTATAAAGAAAAAAAAGTAATGCAAAGAAAACATGTAGATTAAGAGAATTAAAGAAAATACATATTTTTTAAATCAGCAAGACTAAACTATACCATTTAGTAATGCAAATGTGAGTGATAAAAGTATAAAGAAACACAAGAAAGTAATTACTATGCAAGCCAGGATAGTGGTTCTTTTGGGGATAAGTAAAGTGTGGAGTGTGGGGATGAGGCACACAGAGAAACTTCTGGGGGTGGTGATGAGTTCTATTCATTGACCTGGGTGGCGGTTCATTAGGTTGTACATTAGTTGTGAGGGAATCTCTATATTTATGCTTTGTCTTCAAATGAAAAAAGTTTTTGTTTTTGTTTTTAAAAAGTTCCATATCCTCACCTGTGCCTTGGCCAATTTCTTTTCCAGTAGGTCCCGTTCCCGCTCTGTCTGCTGCAGACGCTTATTAAGCTCCACTATGTCTCCCTTTAGTGATGCCAGGGCTGCCAAATGGAGCTGCAGAGACAGAATAAAGGAGCAAGAGGTTAGACCACTTCAGCAGAAACTCATTTCCTTTCCTTCATTCCCTGTAATTAAGATAACCATATAAAACAATATATCATGCAAAACATGACACTTTGGGGGATCAAAAATAGGTGCTATTAGTCTCCAGCTGATCATTGGCATAAATCAAGCATGTTTAAGCAAGTAGGTTCAATGGTCACTCTACATATAACAGGGAGCCCTGGTCACGTAGTGAGTTAGGTGTTAGGCTGCTATCCACAGGGACAGCAGTTCGAGTCCACCAGGCATTCTGCGGGTTAAGGATGAGGCATTCCACTCCTGGAAACCCTATACAAGGTCAATGTGAGTTGAAACCAACTCCACGGTGACTGCCACCACTGCTGCCACCACCGCACCCACCACCACCACATGTAACAAAGAACACTGACTGACAAGTGTTGGCAGCGAGACCTGATTTTGGATGGAACAATAAGAATAAAAAGCAAAGCACCTCATTCCAATGGTTTTCCCTAAGTTATTCAGTGAATATGGTATTAACAGTTGGGGTGGGGTTGCCTGACTTTCATTGTAAGAATCAACGAAAATCAGCTTTTACATTTGGAAAATATGAAAATTGAAGGTGTGTTCTGTTAGGTGCTGTCCAATCAGTTCCAACTCATAGTGACCCCATGGATACAGGAAAAAAAAAAAAAAAAAAGACCAGCCACCCTCAAAGTGTTGTCATGTTTGAGCCATTGTTGCAGACACCGAGTCAGTCCATCTTACTGAGGGGCTACCTCTTTTTTGCTGACCCTCTATTTACCAAGCATGATGTCTTTCTCCAGAGACTGGTCACTCTTGATTACATGTACATGAGATGAAATCTCACCACACTTTCTTCCAGAAAAAGCTGAATAGCTATGTAATTTATTTATAGCTTTGTAATTTATTCACCCAAATTGTTGTGAGTAAAGAGACAGATCAAGGAAGTGAATATTAAGCAAAAAAGTGGGAGTGTTCACGTTTTCAAACAGTCTCCTCTTAAAATAAAACAAAAAACAAAACACTGCCATTGAGTTGTTTCTAACTCACAGCAAACCTACAGGACAGAGTAGAACTACTCCCTGGGGTTTCTAAGACTGTAAATCTTTACAGAAGCAGACTGCCTCATCTTTGCTATTGTTGTTGTTAAGTCCCATTGAGTAGGTTCCGACCCATAGTGACTCTGTATAGGTTTTCCAAGGAGTGGCTGGTGGGTTTGAACAGTTGACCTTGTGGTTCATACTGACATTGCACTCCAGTGTATTATCCGGCAGTGCCACACCAAGACTCCTGACTCATCTTTAGCCCACTCTTAAAGTTGACCCACTTATTTTCTTGCCAGATCCTCCACCCTCATTGTCCTCCAGAAAATCTAGGCTGATTGGACAGGTGCCTCTATGTGCTACCAGACCCTCCCCAAGGAACAGATTTAGAACTCTAATATATTTACCATGAGAAGACAAACCAAAAGTCCATCCAGATACTTTTTCACATACAACTTTCTCAGGTTTGGTTGGAGCTAGGAAGAATGTTCTTGAACACATCCAATGGACATCCTGCATTTGCAGGATATTAACCTGTTTAACTTTCAAGTTGTGAGTCTTGAGCTTTAACTGCACACAAAAATCTACCAAGATGTAGGGTAGACATGTCTTCTGTGGCTTTCTGAACTGATGGATGGGCTTATCTTTAGAACCAGGTGAATACACTGATCACACAGCAACACTCTCAAAAACTTTCTTTGATCTCTATCTTAACTTTTCATCTGTCTTCCATGCCAATTTCAGAAGGAGCTCAGACAATTCCTTAGCAGAATTCCACATTACATTTGAGTAAGCAATGAGAATCAGAACTATCTCTCCTGGGTTTTTGTAGCTTCTGCCAAAGAAGATTTAAGGTAACAAATGAGCAAATAAATTTCATCTTTAAAGTTGAACATGGTAAAATGGCATACAACTCAACTTTGTGAAAATTTTACTTTTGAGTTTAGAAAAATGTTTTTTTCTGCACTCTGTCTCTGCAAACTGAATGTTGACTGATATGTTTAGAGTAGGCAGCGGGGTACGAGAAGGAGCTCTGGTAGCGTAGTGGTTACGAATCAGGCTGCAAACCTTAAGGTCAGCAGTTTGAAACTACCAGCTGTTCCATGGGAGAAAGATGAGGCTTTTTGCTCCCGTAAAGATTTACAGCCTCGGAAATCCTGTACAGGGTCACTATGAGTCGGAATCGACTCCACGGCACATTAACTACCACCACTACCACCACCAGCGGGGTACGAGAGAGAGATAGAATGGAAATTGCCATTTAAAAACAGTTGTTTGTTTGAGTCTAACAGCAGTGAATGTGACTTCATTTAGCTGCACTGGTGCTATAAACCAACAGATCAATAGCCAATTTGAAATCAGGAATGTCTGAAATTTAAAAAAGGAAATGTCAAGTAATATAGTAGTATTTACCTTCTCGTGCAGGGCTGGGGCTGTTCAGAAAAGGTCACTTTGGATTTCAGATACGACATTTTGTGTGATTTCTCAGCACAAACAACACAATGTTGCATTGTATGGTGTGGAAGAGGGGAACACAAATTCACTTCCTTAGACAGCTGTGTTGTTCACTAAGCCCATGAGCTGTCTATCTCAGGATTGTCCTTCAGTGTCAGACAATGTGACATGTTATACTATTATGTCAACTCTTGGGAGAAGGTTCATCATCTCACCTTTGGCAAGAAGGACAAAAGACACATAGAGCAGAAAATATTCTTTAAGAAATACAAACATGGAAACGAGGATCTCAATTATGTGAGCTTAGGCTTGCTATCTGGGAAAAAGAGTTGCTTCCCTCTTACTTCTGAGGATAAGAGGCTGGGAGACTGAGCGGGAAGCAAACTGAGGAGGCAGAATTACTACCAACTTTGTGAACAGGGGCGCCGATGAGGGGACAGAGTAAATTCCAACATAGTACATGTCATAGGGATCTGTGATAGTTCACCACCATGGGGGAGGCACTGGGCTTGGAATGATGTCACCTTATGGCCCGCCATCTCTCCAGATCACCAGAAAGATCATGGGATGTGTATTTGGGGACAGTCCTTTCAGGCCTGTGGATGGAAGATGTCTATTTATAAAGAGAGCACACTAGTTCTTCACCTTCCTCAGGTCACAGATATCTCTAAGAATCTCATGACTTCAGTGTGATGGGTTCCTCTTTCAGGTAAGTGTATAAATAAATGTAGAGTAAGTGCTTGATCTTATTTCCATCTAATGATGTTGATCAGACACTCTGAACCCTATCCATGAAGATCAATGAGCTCTGATGTCGTCTCTGTCAGTTCTGTAACCCTACATAAATCTTACAGATTGTCTTATGTATATTAATCACAAACACCTGAGTGGGGAAAGGGCCCTTTGTACTTGCCTTCATCTTTGAAGATAAGGAGGTTATTCAAGGCCCCATGAATAGCTTAGCACCAGAACCAAGGCCCCTAGGACTCATTTTTAAACTACAGATTATACATGACTATTTTCTCTTTTTTCCCAAATAGATGAGAAACTTTTTTAAAGTATATTTATTCTGACCATATAAAAGTAATAAAATGTGCTGGAGCCATTGTTGTTGTTGTTGTAAGTGCCGTCGAGTCGGTTCCGACCCATAGCGACCCTGTACAGGGTTTCCGAGGGTGTAAATCTTTACGGGAGTAGAAAGCCTCATCTTTCTCCCGTGGAGTGGCTAGTAGTTTCGAACTGCTGACCTTAAGGTTCGCAGCCCGATTCGTAGCCACTACGCTACCAGAGCTCCTTATTTTCTCTTTTTTCCCAAATAGATGAGAAACCTTTTTAAAGTATATTTATTCTGACCATATAAAAGTAATAAAATGTGCTGGAGCCATTAGAGCTGGCTAAAACTATTGCCCTGAGATATAATCTTTGTACTTTAAGTCAAAGATATCCACTGAAATCTTAATACCCAACAAAAGTTTAGCTTAACTAGTAAACACTGTCTGCCTTGAGCACTGTGCTCTTTTAAACTCTAAGGTTTTCTGGTATGGTGCTGTATGATCAGCACTGGACTGTGAACTACCAGGTCAGCAGTTCAAATCCACCAGCTGCTCCTTGGAAACCACACAGGGTCACTATGAGTCAGAATTGACTCGAGGGAAAACTTAACAACAAACAACACATGGGATAAAATTGACAACAGTAACTCAAAACATTAGATAGGAACCTTTGTTGTTGTTAAGTGCTGAGTTGGTCCTGACTTATAACTACCCTGTATAGGGTTTCCAAGAAACAGCTGGCGAGTTTGAGCTGCTGACCTTGTGGTTCAAGCCAACCTTGCAGCCCAGTGCTTTATCCCACAGCACTACAAATTTATGTTAATGGGAGAGGAAGGTGGGAATACAAACAACAACTGGGAGGATGTAGTCAACATCATTGAATTGTAATGTAAAAATTGTTGACTTGATGTATATTCTGCTGTGTAATGGAGAAAAGATTGAAGTTGTCAAGGACTTCATTCTTCTCAGATCAACTATCAACACTCAAGAAATCAAACATATTGCATTAGGCAACTCTACCACACAAGACCTTGTTAAAGTGTTGAAGAACGAAGATGTCAGCTTGAGGACTAAGGTACACCTGACCCAAGCCATGGTATTTTCAATAACCTCATGTGCATGTGAAAGCTGGACAGTGAATAAGGAAGACAGTAGAAGAACTGATGCTTTTGAGTTATGGTGTTGGAGGAGAATATTGAAAGTGCCATGTGCCGCCGAAAAAACAAACAGACTGTGTTGGAAGAAGTGCAGCCAGAGTGTCCCTTGGAGGCCAGGATGGCCAAACTTTGTCTCTCATACTTTGGACATATTGTCAGGAGGGATTAGTCGCTGGAGAAGGATATCATGTTTGGTAAGGTGGAGGGTCAGAGAGAAAGAGGAAGACCCCAAAGAGATGGATTGGTAAAGTGGAAGCATCAAT